ACTGCTAATTACCTCCATCCAACGGACATCTATGAATATCATACACATATGCAATTTAAAAATGCTGAAAATTTCATTATGGATTGATATCAACTAGAGAACTACTGGAAATTAGTGGACGGTGGACGGACTTCTCGTCTTTGTAATGTATATTCATCACCGTATAAAGTCATTAGGGTGGAGCTCGTATATGGTAGTCATCGAAATCCACTCAGCAACCTTGTGCACATTCGTGCAGTAGGCAGTCAACCACATTTATTGTGTGAGAACTAGTGATAATACATGGGTGCCCTCGGTAGGTGAAGCAATGGTCGAACCCGCAACCCTCTGGTTGGGAGTCAACCACTCCACATATACTAGTCATAGGTTCGATTAAAGTAGTACAGCTATCTATGTATTCCTCATTCTTAATGACTCTTGTTCCTTGCTGATATCAATCTGTAATGAGGGAAAACCCACCCTTTTATCTCTTTAATCATGTTTTTCTTGATGATTTTAAGCGCATCTGGATATTGTTTTCTCAGTAGTTGTGTTATTTCTACATTGGCATATTTTCTTATTGACCTCTCTATAATGATCCAATCAGCGGTTTTCTTTCCTAGTTCAGCATACGGAAAGGAATTATAACTCCAATAATAACGTCATTATAAACTTATTATATGATATTGCATCCAATAAGGAATAAGCGGATAGTGTTAGATTTCTATTTTTTCATCATCCCTTTGGCGATGCTGTTTTATTTACCACATTATGTTTTTATTACCATTTATTACTCACAATCACGTAGAGACGTCATCAATGTGTTCTACATCAAACAAACCTATCGGATATGGAATTGCATTGTATCACTAACTGATTTCTATTCTGATATCAGTTGCTTAACTTACTTATAGTCGGCAAATATAGAAATATTTGTTACTAGTCACGAAATCAGATTTATCCTTCATGCTAATTCTGTCTGACGATCACATTTCAAACTCTCATTCCTTATTTGAACTGGTAAGTCAGCCGGTCATAGTCATTCCCCTCCATCACATATTGAGAGAGAGAGAGAGAGAGAGAGGAAAGATTCATGTACGTGTGGCTAATACTTTTTTGGATAGGATTATATGCGCATTTTCAGTTCCCACTATTATCTAAAAAGTGACTAGTTTACAATGAATATTCTATTCATTATCTACCGTTATATCGACCTAGTTTCACATGACAATGTTGTTTACTTGTTATTCTGTTACTAATTTATTTAAGAATATTCGTCTACCTGATTCTCTACTGACTATTTTGCTGTGTAAGCAGCAGTAGGAGTAAAGGCTTTCTTCATATCATGACATATCTGTTTAATCCTGTGTATCTGTTAGTTTGAATATGTATTTATCTATCGACCTTGTACACACGTAAATACATGTTCGCCTGACAAGGTCATGTACTGAACATTGAACGGATGTATATATATGCACAGATATTATCAGGCTTCTACTACTATGTTGAAAATCAACATGGCAGTCTAGCCATAGAGATGCGCGTGCTTACTCATTTTTATTTGTTTACTGAATTATTGATGTCTATCTCCATCTTTGTCCGTGTGTGTATGTATATTGGTTTGTTCATGTTTTTGGTCTGACTCTGAGTATTGGTTTGGAGTTTAGTCATAGCCTTATAATTGTAATCAACATGAGATATGAATTTGTTACTTTAGCATTGTCTCGCTACTATTTCCAAGTTTTACTTAGCGCCTTCTTATCTTCTTTTTCTTGTGTATTTGTTCGCATGTAATTACTTGGCTGAGAACAAAATTTCCATACTCAATATTGTACTGAGTGTCTAAGTTAGACGCAGTGTCCAATTCCACTGTTGAACAAGGCAGTATTGGTCAGATGAGAATCATCGGTGACGCAAGTTGGTGGATAAGTAACTGGTCAGGTAAATGACTACGCAAATTGTGTGGAGCTTAATTAGTAGAGGGATTGCGTCAATACCTGACTTCAACGGAAGAAACAATGAATGATAGATGGCTGTTAGTTATACATCAGATCTTGAGCCTATCAACCTTAGGCTTATCAGCCATTCATCAGCTCAGTTAAACGGTGTTTAACAACCGATACCTACGCCTATAGCATTGTGTAATGGTGAATCATAGGATTATGATTCAGTAGCTGGATAACGAATTGATTGACCATAAACCTCAAGATCATGAATTTAATCCTGTGGGCTTCTGATTCCTTGGCTGATTTGTTGTTAAATATCATGATTATCTGGAAAACAAATCTGATGCAAAGCTGATATGAATTAAGTTACCGTTGTTATTAGTTATCATTCTGCCGTTTTCTACAGCGAATTCGGTTGGACAAACTCAGTAAAACCTTAATCATGCGCATAGATTTTTTTGTTTATTATCATCGTCACCAAGCAGGGCATTAGATAAAGCTCTTTCAGTTTCAGTTACTTTAGGGTGTTACGTTTTTTTCAACCGCTGATTGTAAGTTATAGAAGCAAAAGCAATATCCTATATCATATCTTCGCAAAGCTGTGATAAACTGGTCTAGATATATGACTTTCAACCAGTGGATGATAGATTGGAACCCTATTCAGCCTACTGAAATTTAGACAATCAGCTAATATCATTAGCCTTCATACGATAGTGGTGACTCATTACCTAGTGCATGAGTATGTACGAGTGTTTCATTCACTTCCTTTTACGTTTTCTGTACAATTTCTGTGTCAATGTTAATTATTTGTGTCTGGTGGACTCAGTGAAAATAGTTATCAGCCAATTTCAAACTGTTACACCAATTAACACACAAAACTTAGTTACGTGAAAAAGTGTAAGCTAAATAACCAAAAATTTTGTGTAAGTAGAAAATGACACCAACAGGTTAACTAACAGCTAGATTCTGTTAGTTACGTTGTAAGTAAAACAACAATGGGTTATCCAGTAGAGATTCGATAAAAACAGTACAAGAATTGGATAGCGATCGGATAGTGGAAGTGGTAGGAAGCCCTGTACATACCCCTGCAAAAAAAACCATCCAGTTTTTCATTTGTAATTAACATACTACTATATGAAAACAAGTTGTACAGTATGCATGCGACTTTGTACAAAAAAGAATTAATTTAATATCCGGTATATACCATAAACTGAATATAGTTTGTTAGTTGCTTCGGGTTCTATCGGCTTCCTTCTTACCGATTGCCTCCAATCACCGCGATGGTGAGCATCTTAGCTTGGTGACCATATTGTAAAATGATCGATAGGATTGGGTCAGCACTCACGACTAGACAACATGAAATTGGTGAATTTCCAATGCCCAATCAATAACTTTATTGTTTGCACAGAGTTGCGTAAAACTAGTCTACTTTCGCTTCATATCATGATACATCAGTCTATAATCGATGATGTGTTCATTCATCAGTTAGGCCTAGGATTATAGAACAACTTATAATGATAATTTTATGTGGATTTATGTTTCCAGTTGTTTGAGCGTTTGCCTTCCTACCAGTCTACACATCGACCAAGCATTTCTGATTGACACAATTCCTATGAGTCATGAATATGCTATTGAATTAGGAAATAGGCACAGAGTAGTAACTGAAGGTGAAACAAAAACCCAAATGGCGCTACGATTGGAACATTCAATCATCACTCCAACCCAACTACCAGTCTACCAAACCGTAGCTATCTCACTAATAAATTCACACGCGTCTATACTGATTGGTTCCCTGAATGAAATCACACTCTTCTGGATATATGCTCAAATAGCTAGAGATTTCTCATCACGCTAATGTGCTTGAGAATGAAATATGTATCATGCATTCAAAGCTCTCATCGATAGCTTTGCCTCAAGGAGAGCAGTAATAAAAAGAAACAATTTACTATCAGTAATTTTTTTGCACGTTCTTCTTGTTTATCTCTAGCATCGCATGATCTTAGTCCGAGATTCATTTTCGACCCATATCAAGAACACATAGCAACTTTTATCTGAAAGTTGAGTCTAGCATGTGATATTGCTGGTGAATGATTGTGACTTTTATGCGGTCATTCTATTCGTCTGTTTCACTGAGATTTAGAGTGACTTTAAAGGCCACACTAGTAACAACTCAAATAACCAATCAGACCTCTGTATTTTATAGAAATCTGACTTGCCAGCCGAAATAAAGAAACTTAATTGGTTATATCAGTCGTTTCTAGGGTGGCCTTTAAAGTCGCCCGAGATTTGCATATGATTTCATAGACAAACATATGAAGAATAGAGAAGCTAACATAAACCGCAGTGGTTCAAGTTGTCACAGTTTTCAGCGGTAGTACAGAAAGATAAAATGAACGGACATAGAAAGATACTATAACATTTGAAGAAGAATGTAAAGAGAGAAATATGGAGAGTAATATGATTTTTGAATGGCCTAGGCTTTAAGTTTATCAATTCTTAGCATAGCGCTTGTTGCAGTCAATTAGCCAATGAAGAGACAACTACAATCATTTCTAATTCATAGCCTCATTTTAGTCTGTACCGTATGGACGGGTGTAGTCTATCTGTCTGTGGTCCTCTAGAGCATAGGATCAACGGTTGGGGACTTAATGATATATCTAAAAATCGGTCACAATAGCATAGATATCTTCACTCTTCGACACTTTCTAAAGCTTGAACATTTTCAAAGTGTTTCTCCTTTCATACACTTTTGTGTAATTCGATATGACTCTTCCTCTTTGTATGCCACTGTGAAGCATGATAACTTGGACCGACGCACTTGTGTGCGAAGTTTTACGTTGACTTGTGTGTCTCTCTGTCACAACTTCATCGACTAACTTACTTTACTTGACAAGGATTATATGCTATGAAAACACATTTGAAAAGGTGCTGAATGAATATTCATAGTGTAAGGTCACTCATCAGTGTATAAAATGCTTTTTGAACCTTAATTGTTCTGTAATGTAATTCCTTAGAAGAGATTTAATGATTACTCCCTATTCGGTTTCTTTTGTTCACTCTAAACATTTTATTTAGATCCAGAAACTCAATCCGATATCGATATATCAAATATTCCTTGTCGAGTATGTGGAGGTCGGTCGTCTGGATTCCATTTCGGTGCATTGACATGTGAAGGATGTAAAGTGAGTCGTTTTTATTTATTTATTTATTTCATTACTTTCTTTAGCAAAGAAAATAGTTTGGTGTTTAAGAAAATGATACTAAGTGATTATTGTAGATGAAAGCCTTGGTCATAGTAGGATTCAAACCACTCAACCTCCTGATCACATGCCCGGCGCTCCACCAACTAAACTATGTAACCCAGCGGTTGACTAGATTGTTATTTCACTAGACCCTTTTGAGTTGATCATTTGTTTTGAAATTATCTGGAACTGTATGTTTCTCTTGTCTCACTAGGATTGATTTAGGAAGTTTTGGTATCTCTCCTAAAATCTGCATTTTTTCAAAGAATCCTGGTTTACTAGTTTAAGTGAACAAGGTGTAGCTGGTAGATCATATGCTTAGATTGTGGTCTATTCATAATTAATTTTCACAACTGAGATGATTGGGACATGTGTTGCACATGCCGAGCTACCACCTACCTCGATATGTCATGCTATGAGAGGTTGGATTAGATTGAAAGAGGGTTCAGGTGGTCAGACCAAAACGTGCCATCGGTCCATAAATTCTCTGACTGTTGATCTGAACTATGTATGGAGGTGTAGACCACTTGGTTATGGCCCCGAGACGATAGGATTCAGTGGTTGAGGAATGTTGGTAACAGTTAGAAATAGGTCAAGATGGCGCAGATATGTACACTCATTGGTGTCTCCTAGAGCTTGAATATTTCCACTAACCTTGATCTTCAAATTGTTTATTCTGTCATACACATTTCCCTACTTTGATGTCAGTCTTCTTCTATCTACTTGTTCTTTGTATTCTACTGTGAAGTGTGACAACTGGATCCAATGCATTTGTGTGCGAGGTTCCACGTTGATTTTCTCTGTCTCTGTCTATCTATCTATCTATCACAAGAGGTGTGATGTACAGATCATTAAATGAATTTCCATAGGGTTGCTAAGACGTATTATTGTCTTTCCTTTGTCAGTTGTTTTTGGCTGCAAATGTCAACAGTATGTTAGTTGGCTGGAGGCAATCGACAGAAAGCCCTGAACCTAGGTTTCGCACTTGTCAGTACTCATCAACAAAGCGAATCTACAACCTCGAGGGAATTGATATTCCTTGTAAGGTTCGAGCCCTCATCATTCATTGTTGCAGTTAGCGATGTTACCATTAAGCTGTTCGGCCCGTGACTAACCTGTGGGTTATCACTCGACATTGGACAACATTAGATTGGTTGCTCTGAAGTGATCAATCACTGTTTGAGTAGTAAATGAGGGGCTGAATTTGCAAACGTGAACCATTAAATATCATTGCTAAGCATACGAATATCCTCTAATGTACACGAACAACAACTGTGGGGTGGGGGGGGGTGTGAATGAATTGTTCTGATTGGTTCACTGAAACGCCGGTCATCATGAATATACATGAGCATAGATCAAATACTGAAGCTCAAAAGCTTCTAGTTTAATAACTAATTAACGAAATATACCCGTTTTTTCATGAGTTAGAACAAGACATGTATCAGTGAAGAAATATTTCTTTTCAACGACTTCATTATCAAGCTGTACAGCAGTCGTATTTATACTTGGTAAAATGACAGATAATTGCACTGAAAAGTTGTTCAGTCAATATACAAAATATACAATCCATATAGGTGGTGATATTTGTTCAAGTGAAGAAATAGAAAATGGGTCACTGTGAATAAGGAGGAACGAATTGATAACAAGTGGTGAGATAAGAGACAAGTGTTGTCAAAGAATTATGAAACGGTGATAATTAGGCTGAAACGTGTAAAATAGGTCAATGAATAAGGAATGAATTGATATTAAAAAGTGAAATATGGGTCAAATGTTGTCAATAAATTGAAAACTGTATTGATTGGTCACGGGAGTGCAACCAATTTCATGTTGTCTAGTCCTGAGTGCAGATCGAATTCTATCGATCATATTTGCAATGTGGCAACCAAGCTAGGAAGCTCAGCATCGCGGCGCACATTAGTAGATGTTAGTTGTTTGGAGGCAATCGGCAGGAAGCCCTGGACTTAGGTTTCGTGCCTTTTGGCACTCGTCAGCAAGGCGGATCTGCAACCTCGACGGAACTTATGTCCCACTCGAGATTCGAACCCGCGTCACCCAGTGTTGTAGTCAACGTCTTTACCACTGAGCTATTCGGACCGCGACTGACCTCCTGTAGGACTGGCTTACATGTATTGATTGGTCACTGGAGTGCAACCAATTTCATGTTGTCTAGTCCTGAGAGCAGATCGAATTCTATCGATCATATTTGCAATTGAAAACTGGTGATAATGATGATGATAATAAAAGAGAAGTATACCAAAGTGAAGTCAAATGAAATTGATAAAATCAACAAAATGAATTGTTAAGGCCAAAGTAGAGAAAGTGGTTTCACAAAACGTTTTTGAATGCAAAGTTTCAGTTTTTGTTCATGCATAGCTAATGCTTCAGCTATACATATATGGTGGAAACGTAAACATTTGGAGTAGTTCAATTTAACTTTGTAAATTATTTTAAAGGATGAATCTCCAGGTGCTGACTGTCCACATTCAACAAGGTGTTCACGTATGAATGTAGTCGTTTTCCTTTGCTCGCCTCTGATAAGCCAAATCGGGTAGTGTTCAGCAACACGTTTTCGCAGGGCCCGCTTACAACGTACAATATAGTCAGCTCCATAGGAGCATGTGGACTTGTAGCTACACATAGATGTGGACATAGGTAGAAGCCTATCCTTCACGCATTGGCGAATCAGATGGCGGCTGGAGAATATCAATCTTAGTTTAGCAGCATAGAAGCTACTATTGATACATTTTGACGGACGATTTTTCAGCACTTTGGCTGTGGCGTCCTTTGAATTCTAGATTCATGGTTAAGATTTTCCTAGGGACTGTAAGGGGATGGGGGTGGTTCGTTTCTTCGGATTCTTATCAATAAATCGTTTAGAATATGCGTTATTAGATAGTACTATTCTAAGGGCTTCGATTTCAGCATCCACCGTATCTTCTGAACATATTCTATAGATTCTGGAACACAGTGAGTGAATGAGATTTATCTTACAACTAAGAGGTACCCGACTATTAAAGTTAGTGAACTGTCCGGTCCAGGTTGGTTTTCGATAGACTGATCTTTGAATCGAACCATCATCCCTTCTGTTTAACGTTACGTCTAGAAAGTCTAACGTTAAGTTTAACTCTTCCTCTACAGTGAATTTAATGGACGGGTGACAATCGTTGAAACGTCTTAGCAGCTCGTCCACTGAAGATGTTTCGTCACAAATAAGAAAACTGTCGTCCATGAACTTTTTATATAAATAAAGTTCCGAAATTATTTCTTTAAGCGGCCCATTTCCTAGTTTTCCCATAAAAATATCAGCCAGGACATGGCCTAGTGAAGACCCCATTGCTACTCCGTCCGTCTGATAATAAATTACATCATTGAATCCAAACTGTACATCAAACGTACATCTTAATATTAATTCTTTTAGGTGGCTCGTAGGTAATCCAATATTAATACTATTAGAATCAATGGAATCACATAGATAACAAACGGTTTCAACAAGTGGAACATTGGTAAATAAAGAAAAAATATCAAACGATATCATATGCTTACCCGTTACATTGATTTCTCCGATGCAGTGAACAAAACCAAATGTATCGAGAAAACTATATTTGCATAGATTTGATCTCACCCGGTTTACTTAATGATCAGGTGAATTAAGCATATCCAGTACTGGACTAATTACGGCAGCCATCAAGACAAAATGGGAGATATCGAGGAACATCCCTGAAGAAACCTGTGTGGAAGAACACTGGAATTCTTTGAAAGAGATGTGGAAAGAAACCTGCACAGCCGTATTAGGAAGGAAGAAGAAAGAAGATAAGGAATGGATCTTGACGGACACATGGAAGCTGATAGAGCAGGGAGAGGAGGATGGTGAAGCAGAAGATGAACCAGTGCAAGGATGCTCAACGACGACAAGAGGAACTGAGCACAATGTATAAAACACTGGACAAAGAAGTGAAGAAGAGTGCACGGAAAGACAAAAGACACTTCTACGAAACACTTGCAAGTGAAGCAGAACAGGCTGTGGGTAAGAGAGACCTGACGACATTGTATCAAATAACCAGGTTGCTATCTGGGAAGAGATCAACGCAGACGAAACCAATAAAAGATGATGAAGAGAATTTAATTACGAAAGAAGAGAAACAAAGGAAACGATGGGCTCACCACTTCAAGAAGCTCTTGAATCGACCACCACCACCACCACCTACACTTCGTCCAGAAATACCACTTACAGCCACACAACTACAAGTGAACATAAATCCTCCAACAAAAATGGAAGTCCTGAACGCCATAAAGCCACTGAAATGCGGGAAGGCAGCAGGACCAGACGGGACCCCGCCAGAAGCACTGAGAACAGACGCAGAGACAACAGCAAACATGCTCGCACCACCATTGCAGAAGGTGTGGAAGGAAGAGAAGGTACCTGACTAGTGGTTGGAAGAAGGGTTACCTTGTCAAACTGCTGAAGAAGGGAGACCTCATTGTTTGCAAGAACTGGCGCGGAATCACGCTCCACTCCTGTCCACCCAAAGCAAGCAAAATATTGAGCCTGGAGAGGCTAAAGGATGTGCTGGATTCGAAACTACGACCGGAACAGGCGCTGGTTGGATTCAGGAAGTGCAAATCATGTGTGGACCAAATTGCAACGCTTCGCATTATCATAGAACAGAGCATAGAATGGCAGTCAACTCTCTACCTCAACTTTATCGACTTCGAGAAGGCCTTTGACAGCGTCGACCGAGAGGTAATTTGGAAACTGCTTCATTACTACGGAGTACCGCAAACCTTCATCAGCCTCATTCAACAACTATATGAAGACGCCACATGTCAGCCAAGTAATTCACAATGGGAAGCTCAGTGATGCCTTTGCAGTGAAGTGAAGACTGGAGTGAAACAACGTTGTCTACTATCCCCCATGATATTCCTGATTGTGGTGGACTGGA